TGGGCCAGCCAGGGCAGCAGAGGGGACCATCTGAAGGAGGGGGAGCTGTTTGTTTTGTAATAGATTTCCTCCTAAAGATAGAGCCATGGCAGTTTGGTGTAGTGGTTAAGTGCGTGGACTCTAATCTGGGAGAACCGGGTTTGATTCCCCACTCCTCCACTTGCACCTGGCTGGATGACCTTGGGCAAGCCGTAGCTCTGATAAGAGCTGTTCTTGAAAAAAGAGCAGTCTCTGTCAAGAGCTCTCTCAGCCCCACCCACCTCACAGGCAATGCTCCCTCTACGCTGTGGAGTCTTGTGAGCAAAAATTCTACTTTGTGAGCTACTCTCATTAAAGTTGTGAGCGACCAATTTGGCTGCCGCATAAATCAGTTTGCCCTAGAGCCATCCTTCCTGAGCTAAGACAGAAATGTGTGAGCTGGAGGTTAAAAAACTGTGAGCTAGGAACACTGCTCACAGGGTGTCTGTTGTGGGGAGGGGGAGGGAAAGGAGTTTGTAAGCCGCTCTGAGGCACCTTTGGGTAGTGAAGGGCGGGGTATAAATCCAGCCTCCTCTTCTTCATATCTGAGATGTTTCAACATGTCCTGTTTGAGAATCAGCTTGGAAAAGGTAAGGGAGTGGCAAAACAGCAGACCCAGACTTTGGATTCTTACATCATGTCCTACTAAGCATCTCCCCCACACACACACTTTGTTTCTTGTACTTAATATCCAGTCTGATAAAAAGTTGAGACCTCTAAAGCTTGTGATCCTGGCTTAACAGTCTCACCACTCACAGCTAAATGCAAGAGCCTGCTGCTATTTGCTTACAATTCAGAAAAGTGAATAATGACAGTAGTTGGAGGGGAGGGGGAATGGAGGGGTGAAGACCCACCACGTCTGGTGACAAACTCATCCAGAAGCAGGGAGAAGGCCAGAGAGCTCCCCCCCCAATCTCTCCCAGAGCTTGGGGAAGAGAAAGTAACCAGATGGTGAGAAAAGGGTGGTGGTGTTGGGAGTGGGGGGGGGGGCTTAGATGTCCACACCTTTCCAGATGTGCAGCTGCTTCCAGATGAGCTCAGCTGGGCTACCCTCTCACAGCTTGCAATGCCAGTGTCAGCAGGTTCTACTGTTCATTCTGTACACTCATCATGTTCCCCCATATTAGGAGATCCTATGACTTTTTCATCTTTCCTTTTTTCACAGTGGCCAATAACACAGCAGAGAATCCCCTAGTGCATGACAATATGGAAAAAGGGGCTTCCAGCTGCTTGTCAGTCGCAGGAAAGGTCTGGTCAATTTCATCTGTGGGTTTTCCCCATTTGTCTGTGTTCCTTTCTGCTCCCTTTCATTCAAGGCACTAACACTAAAATGCATGCACATATGCTGAACCATGAGGATTTAAATGGAAGGGTGCTTGCTGGATGCTACTGTGCCGCTACAAAAGGACAATTGCGGAAATTTTAAAAAACTGGATGTTGCCCTCTATCACAGAAATACACTGGAGAAAAAAAGAAATGGTACATACAGTAGGCACGCAAGTCAAGCTTAAAAGCTTGACTGCTTGGATTCTCCGGAGTAAGTTGTGAGTGCATAAAGGGAAAGAAGCAAAGGAAAAGTATCAAAGCAGATCCCCACCTTGAAGGGTTCATATAAAAAGGTTTTATTCTCCCTCTCCAAGTATAAATGAACAGTGTTGAAATGTTGTATGATTAGACTTGGAGACAAATCCCACGTACATCAAAACTATTCACAAAGCTACAATGATCTCATTTAATTGTCAAACACATTCATTAGCAACAAACATTCCAAGAATTTTAAAAGATCTTGTAAGCAATGGCAGCCACAGGCTTGTTTTGTACAATGGTCACTTCTGACTGCAGTGTTTTGGAAGATGCTCCTTTGAATGAGCTAGGAATTCACTTATTCTCTAATAATCCATAGCTGGTCGACCCGTAAGACCTGCCTCTCTCCCTTATCCAACCCAGTGAAGATGGGATGCATTCTAAAGGTCCAAGTTGCCACTACAATGGTGCAGAACTTGCATATGTTTTAACTTCTTAACAAAAATAGATCTTTGCACTGTAACCCGAAACAGAGTAAGGAAACACAATTCCATAACTTTCACACAGGGCAAAGCTGGATAGCACTGTCCTACCCCCCCCCCCGACAAATCCTTTTCCCTTGACACTAATTTTAGTTGCCCCTGTTTCTATGACTCCTGTGTGTCAGAACAAGCACTGTACATTGGTTAGGGGGAAACACAATTAGAATAATTCTTTGGCAGCTGTGGTGCCTCAAATATGGCCATATCACTGATGTAAAGCAATGAGATAGTCCCACCTGCCAGTAATTTTTTTAAAAATGGTTTGCCTGATCAGGTCATCAGATGTAAACATCCCTAAGAAGGTGTCCAGTATCATCTATTTTAACATAAGACCTCATGGATCTCAGTTTAGTAGTATTTAGAAATGCATCCAACTTTTCATGAATAATCTCACCCTAAATTGTAAATTAAACACACCCTAAATTATACATTCAACAGCTAACAGACATTAGAGTTTCCTTTTTTCCACCGGAAATTATGGTGCAAACATTAAGTGCAGAGTAAAAGGTTAAGAGCTTACACACAGGTAAATTGGGACAGGGAGTAATTTTACCTCAGTGAATGCATTGCATAAACACAGTAATAGCTAGGGCCATCTACATGTGTCACAGGTGGCTTTCTGGATTAAAAAAAATCATCTAAAAGGACGGGGGGGGATATCATCGTCTGAGAGGGTTGGCAGCATGGGAAGATGGGCAGTGCCTGGGAGGGCTTCTGCTTGGACAGCAGCAGCAAAAACAGCATTGGGTAGAAGGCAGGAGAGCCCAGTTATAGCCAGCTGATTTGGCTTCCATCTCCTTTGATTACAGTTCTTTTCCAATGCAGCTTTGTGTCAAGTTGAACTGGGCTGAGGCACAGTTATTTTCAAAAGCCTCTGTGCTCTAATCTGCTACTGCAGGAGTACCTCAGGGACAGGGGTAAGCTGCAGCGTCACAGGAACGGAAGGACAAGTCTCCTCCATGAACTGAGGGCCCTTTACTCAAAACTAGTTTGCTGTTGGCCCACAGGCTCAGGATGTCAGCTAGTTTTGTTAAGGTTCTGTCTACCGACTTCGGTGATTTTTGGTTTAGGAAGCAATCTGGAGATCGCAATCAAACAAATCTCATGCATAGCTCAGCAGTCTCATGATTTTGAAAAGTGTGGCTTATAAACCAGCTTTGTAGATCTGATGTGTTTTCCCACAATCAGTTAAATTACATAATATTGTTTTATAATTTCTTGGTCATCTAGGCTAAGAAAACATTTCATTGGCCAAAGAAAGACAAGCAGTCCTGGGAGGTGTATCTCATCTGCTTGTCATGCACACCTTAAACACCACAAGCTTGAACACCCTTAATCCCAGTTTACATGGTTATGATCATATCTGAGATCTGAGCTGTCACAAGCATCTACAGATAACACACTAGATGGTTACAATTTTTGAACAGTAAAAAAGAGGACGTATTTCCTGACTGACTAGTTCAAACAAGTGATCACTATTTATTATTTACTATTAAAATCTCATTTTAAATACCACTACTATTTAATTTGTGATAATTGCTACTAACTAGGAATATTCCTAACCTTCCAACCCCCAAAGAGGACATTTTCATCAATTTTTAAAGAAAAGCCAAAAAGAGGACAGACACCAAAAAAAAGAGACATGTTCTCTTAAAAAAAAAAAAAGGGCATCTGGTAATCCTGGACAACACAGTTTGTTGACTTTAGGAAGCATATTTTCTCTCCCTGCCCCACTCCTCTTCTTAAAGAAGGCATCTGAAAATACATACACACGATTCCAAGATACAAACCTTATTGAGAACAGGCTGGCTTGCATATTAAGTGTTAGCTTCTTCATTTAAATGAAGCAGAGCATAATCCCCAGACAGGGGGTGCCACTGCTTTCTTGGTACTTAGTTGAGGCACTTTGAGTGATATATAGAAGACAAGTCTTGCATTACTTTGGCAGTGTGTGAGATGCTGCAGTACCGCTCCTCGATCCCATGCCACCCACTAACACAGCAAACCCCAAATCACCTGGGAGGAACCCATGTTCTGATTTTAAGTTAGTTCCTCAAATGCTGACTGCTGCTCCCATGGTAAGGGGGAAACATCATGTACTTATATTATCCTGGCATCATGAGAAGGGTGCTATTGAGGCACCAGGAGTATGAGGCCCAAGAAGTATCTTATAGCAGTAGAAGAAGAAGAGATTGGATTTATACCCCACCCTTCACTACCCAAAGGAGTCTCAGAGCGGCTTACAAGCTCCTTTCCCTTCCCCTCCCCACCACAGATACCCTGTGAGGTAGGTGGGGCTGAGAGAGCTCTGACAGAAATTGCTCTTTTTCAAGAACAGCTGTGCCAGAACTATGGCTTGCCCAAGGTCATCCAGCCAGGTGCAAGTGGAGGAGTGGGGAATCAAACCCGGTTCTCCCAGATTAGAGTCCACGCACTTAACCACTACACCAAACTGGTTGGACATTGGGAACAGTTGGCTTTAGCACCTGAATACACAGTACGAAGGATTTTACCATGTGTCTGCTGTTGATCAGAAATGCACAAAAGTGAGAGCATGGCAAAATACTACATTGTAGAACACTGCCGTGCATCTCTCCCCATGTTTGTCTGTATATCACAGTAAGCTGCCACTTGGTAAAAAGATTTCTGTATCTCTCTTTGGACTGAGCTGCAAAACCATTGTGCCAATTTGTCAGGCATTAAATCCACTTGCCAATCCTAACAGAAAAATAAAGTATATTTTGTCTTCTCAGAAATTCACTTATTGAGATAGAATGTAACTTCCAGTTTCCATATATTTCCCACAAGTTGCTATCATGTGGGCATTGTGGGTCAAGAAATCAGAACACTATCACAATAAGCCTCCAGCTATTCACTGGTACTGGAAAATTGAGGCTCCAATATCAATCAGAGCAGTGTGGAATGGCACCATTAATATGCTAACTCAAAAAAATTGAAGCAAATACTATTTAGAGTGGCAGAAGCCCAAATGGATTTGGTGAACATATACAGAATATTAGCTTGTAAAATCTACACAGGATGAAAACACACACATGGTCTAGTCCTACTGGGATTGTGTCACTACAAAGAACAGAGGATCACATGACTGAATTCTTCCTCACAGGAAGAACTTCCAGATAATAACATGAAGCTACAGTGTCAATTCTAGCATAGCCTCTCTCTGACATAGCTTTTCAAAAAAGAATTGTCATATATTTTCCATCACACTTTCAGCACAGGGTATAACAGCTTTTGTTGAGGCGTCATGGAGTTCGGAATATAATCATCCCCTTGGTCTATTAGAGCCCAGGTATTGCCTGCAAAACATTTTTTCTTCATGCTGTTAGGGATACTTTAGATGATCTCAGAGGAAATAATTTCTTCCATCTACTTCTGCTCTTATGCACTTGAGGTGGCATTTTATGGGTTGCATATTTTTAGATGTCTTGTACAGGACTGTAGTAGCAGCTTCAGCCATTGGGCCAGAAACCAAATTTCTTCAAATGGCCAGTAAAGACCTGTCTGCTGGCTTGGCACATGCATAATATCATCCATGACAATTCTATACAAAGAAAATAATGTAAAGTGGAAGGCCAAAGTTAAAGAACAAACAGATCACTAAGCAGAAAGATGGTGAAGGCACTTATTCATTGTGTTCAAAGAGGTTGTCTTTTTCAGAATATATATATATATATGGTCAAGCTTAATTTGATGCAAAGTCTTGCATGTACATGCATATCTACAAATAGTCTGCTCCGAGTCTCTGAAGCTAGAGGATTAATTATTTTGGGTTTCAGCTATATATCATGAATACTTTGGGTTTGCTGTCAACTGGAATGCCAGAATTATCGAGCTCTATCAGGATATTCTTGTCATCCTTGATTACCTGGGTCTGGTCAGTATTCTGAAGTATTTGTGGCAGGGTCCTCACACTGAGATCCACATCTTTGAAGACATGAAGTAAAAACACTCCTAAAATAATGGTGAGGAATCCACACACTGTCCCGATAATGTCCGTCACAGACATAGCAACCCATTCTTTAAAGAGAATAACTGAAGTAGTGATGACTATGGTGGTAAATAATACATAGTAGATGGGGAAGACCATGGAGGTGTTGAAAATGTCCAGAGATTTATTGAGGTAGTTGATTTGGGTGATGATAGAAGCCACTAAAGTAAGAACAAGGATCCAGGTCAGTGGATTTTGCAATACAGGCCGGTGAGCAAAAAAGCCCTTGATGGCAATACCCAGCCCTTTGACTGAAGACACTGTGAAAGCCCCGATCACAGAACAGATGGTGAGGTAGATGAGAATATTGGTTTGGCCACAACGGGGTGCCACAAAGAAAATCAGAACCAGGCAGATCACCAACAGAATGCCAGCATAAACAAGGAAACCTGCAAAGGGGGGGAAAGTGGCAGTTTGTGAAATAAAACACAAAATTAAATCCACATGTCTGCTATGGGAACTGACTATGTTGATTGGAACAAGGTAGCAATGCACAGTAATGTGAAGACTTAAATCAGTTAGCAGGAACAGAACATGGCATCATTCTACCCAAGGAATGGAGCCATGTCAACTGAAGTCTGCCAAGAAGGCTGGAGAAACAGAAAGCACTCATCTCCAAGGGAGAATTCAAAGTAGGGTTGCCAGCTCCAGGTTGGGAAATGCCTAGAGATTTTGGAGGTAGAACCTAAGAAGGGCAGGGTCTGGGGAGGAGAGGGGCTTCAATTGAGTATAATGCCACCTTTCCAAGCAGCCCCGTAGCTAGGGTTTTTTTGGGGAGGGGGCATACCTGCTATTTAAATCAAAGACTCTCAGGCAAGGGGGGTCTGCTTGGTGCGCACCCACACAGCCCCCACTAGAGCCTTCCTCTGAGGTGAGCCAGAATCCCAATGTTAATAGACACTAAGGCTCCTCAGAGCTCTAGCAAAGCTGCCGTGTTTTTGTTTTTTTTTTAAAAAGGAGAGCGGGGATCAAGCTTCCTTCCTCACTCCTTCCCTGAGCCGACAATCTTTTCCGAAGCCTGGCAGAAAATCCAACAGGAGGAGCAAACTGCTGCAATTCGACCAATGTGTGTGTGACTCGATCAACCACTGGTTGCTGCTGGGTCCTAAAGAGACTCAGCTCATTACAGATGAGCTCAAACAGGGAGATGCTGGCTCCTATTCGTGAGGGATTGATCAGGGGGTGAAAGAGCTGGAGGGAGGGAGGGGAGCTGAGAATCGGGGGAGGGGCCCACAAAACAGCGGGGGGCCAGGCCCCATGGGCCCCACATTAGCTATGGGCCTGTTCCCAAGTGACCATTTTCTCCAGGTGAACTGATCTCTGTCACCTGGAGATCAGTTGTAATAGTGGGAGAACTCCATCCACCACCTGGAGACTGGCAAGTCTAATCCAAAAAGAGCCATGTGTGCATGTTTTGTTCCTGCAGTTGTATTTTTGTAGTCAGATTGTCAGAAGCTGCTTCCCCACTCAGAATCCCCAACTGCTTTTTAAAGTCCTGTAATTTCAAAAAGCAGTTTGATAAAGGAACACAACAACAAACAACCTTTATTGGCATAACAACTGAATTATAGCAGGGAGGAAAGAGTCTGAACAGTCAAGGCCCTGTCTACTGTTATACATTACTCGCTTCCTAGCTGCAAGATACACAAATTTGGCCACAGTTTCAGTCACAATTTGGTTCTGAGTAGATAATAAAAAAATAATTTTGCATTCATCAGATTTCCCTGGTTGCTCTCTCAACCAGGGATCAATAAGTGTGGAACATATAGCAAGATAATAAGTACAGTGCAAAAAAAAATGTTCAAGGCTCTCTATGTCCAACCGATTACATGTGCATAGCCTGTTAGCATATGGTATTTTATGAAATCTTCCGTAGAGAACTGCAGAGGGTAACACATTGAAACGGGCTAATGAATAAGCTCTGCGGTAGTGCAAGGCTGTTAAACAGGTTAAATACTCTGCCATATACCCAGAGGGTAAAATCCCCAAGCCTAAGGGTGAACATCTACTTTTAGCAAGGCTCCTAAGATCCTGCATCTCGATGTCAAGGAGTCTTTGTTTGATCTGTGCAAAGGCTGAACTTTCGGTAAGGGAGGATAAGTCGTCAATACTGATCCCTATTGAATTGATTTTCTTTTCAATGTGGTTTAACCACACTGAAGACTGAGACTCCATCAGCATGTGAAAAATAAGGCTACCGTTATTATTCTTAAAATGTAGATGTAGCCAAAATTTGACAGTATTAATCCATGCTTTAGTTTCAAGGAGCCTTTGATTAGTCTCCAGGTGGATGGCCACATGAGGCACACACATGGGCAGGCCCAGTATTTTTCGAAGGAAGTTAGATTGTATTCTTTCCACTTCCTTATTGAAGGCCTTGATCCAAACAGGTACTCCATAAAGCAATTTTGCACTAATCTTATGATTGAATACTCTAATAGCTGCGGGAACATATTGATTACCCTTGGTAAAATAAAAACGGATAAGCGCAAGTACGTTGCAGTTCACAGCTTTTATCACTTCCCTGCTATGAGGAACCCAACTGGCTCTATAGTGGAAATGTATTCCTGTTCGATCCGGTTGCCTCTTATATTCTATATTGAGGGTTTCCACGCTTTTCCAAAAACCATGATTTTTGATTTCTCAAAGTTCAAAGTCAATCTATTTAGTTCACAGTATTCATAGAAGCATGATAATAGCTGTTTCATTCCAGTTTGCGAAAGGGAAAGTAACACGGCATTATCTGCATATAAAAGCAGTGGAACGTGGATTGACCCAAGTTTGGGACTGTGGCCATCTATGTCCTCCAAGAAAGAGACCGTATCATTTATAAAAAAGATTAAAAAGTAGTGGGGCCGGAATACAGCCCTGTTTCATCCCGATATTTATTGGGATTTTGGGGGTTAGATCTCAAAAGGCACACAATAGTTTTGCAAAGGCACTGTGGAGATCATCCATGTGCCAAACTTATCAGTGTTTATAGATGTGAAGCCTTACTTAAGATCCATCCCCACAGCAGTGGCTTCTGACAGCCTCAGCACTACAGCCATCACATGTCAATCGGATCTCAAATGTTTTCATATCGTCAGCTGGACTGTGACACCTTTAATCATGGCTACTCTGCCTGGTACTTACCTGGCTCTTTTAGTTTAGAAGACATTTCATTCAGAGTGGTGACTTCCTCTTCCTCAGGAGCATGAATCACAAGCACTGTGCTGCCCACAATGCTCAGCATGCAACCTAGTTTCCCCAATAGATTGAGTCGCTCTCCGAGCAGGTATGAAGACAAAATGGAACTGTGTGGAACAAGGGGGGAAAGAAAAGAAATCAAAATGATTGCTTAGAGAGGATGGCCAAGGTGCACTAATTACAGATTTACAGAACTTTGGAATTCCTTCCAAAGAGGGAGAGGGAGAGATTTCAATGGTATACACAGTAGCTGGATACTCCCACTTGGTATCATAACTGGCATCATGCTTCAACAACCAGATAAATTCTAGCAAAATGAAATGGTGCCAGATGATGAAGGCATCGTCCAATGAGAAGAGAATTATCATGCACTGGAAGTGAAGGAATGTAGAATAAATGAATGTTGGATGGCAAGTCACACAATAGCAACTATCAAGGGTCAATTTCTGCTGTGAGACGAATGCACAGCTCATTGCAAATATCTCACTTTCTGCAGAGCGGGAAAATGTTATCAAGGTATTTTTCTATCTGTATGGAAAATCACATTAGTACCACTTGGAGCTTTTGGGACCCAGAATAATTATTGGAGGAGAAGAGAGAATGAGTGCAAATCACCTTATGAGCACGCTCAGTGATCCAAGAGGAGTAACAATGGTTGCAGGTGCAAAGGCATACGCAGCAAAGTTGGCAGCTTCTCCTCCACCCACTGAGCAAACAGACAAAAGATAAACCAAGAATTACAGTTAATATGACACTGCTGTTCAAATGCACGTGCTAGTTTTGTTTGCATTCTGTGGTATTAAATTAATCTGTTTCAAAAGAGAACTGAAACCCAGTGACCATAACAAAGAAGAGAGGGTTGTTGTCAGCTAGCTGCCATTCTGTCTGCTGTATGTGGTGTTACCTGTACAACCTGTGCAAGCTGTTACACCCATCCCCCCCCGTGTGTCATCTTACTTCATTATATTGCATGTGTAGCTTTGCAGAAACTGGCCAAGGTCGAGCAGCTGGAGGTGGGAGTCGTGGTATCGCTTCGCTGTTATGGTTAGCTTGCCTGAGAACTGAACTTGTGTATAATGTAGAACCGTTATGTTCCCAAGGAATTGGGCGCGCGTTTTCTGTTCTATTCCCGCCAGAGGGAATGGGGCTAATTGGCCCTTACCTGGTTCAAGTTCCTTTATTATGTAGTCCCAGTATGATTGCAGTTATTCCTAACAATGTCCTTGTTCCTGATCGAACCATCGCTTTGAAATAAATTTTGCTTTACTTTTAAACGTGGATTTATTTTGAATGCCTGGGGATTGTTATGATATGTGCTTTGTGTTTGCATTTCTGTGCTGTGTTGATGATGCCTGTGTGTGTCTCATGTCTGGGTATATGTGCTTGGGAACTCAGGGATTTTCACTGCTGTTTGTATAGCTTGTTTTGCACCTCATGCTTGCCTATAAAAGGGCAAGACCTGTGTTGCCTGCTGCTTCTACAGAGCATGTGCTTCCCTGGAATGCCCCCATGATGCATCGGGACAAAGGAGACCAGCGCCATTGCACCCACTTTGGAATGTCTGGAAAATCACAGCGCACCCGCCATTGCTCATCTGTGGGAAAACTCGTAGCTCTTTTCCTGTTGAATCTGGTTTGGCATCTAAAGACAATAAGGTTTATGACCATGGAGCAGGCACCATCTCTGCAAGTCAAAAGTATCCATGGAAACGGAGGTTCACACCTAAACAGATGGCTTCGCTTTGATGTAGAGCAGTGAATCTGCATATAGGTTTCTTCCCCCTGATCAGGACGTCACCCCTCTCGACCCAATAGTGATAGGATAGAGGAGGACCCCGAAAGTTTATGGCAGGGGAAGAGCCATGCCCAAAAACACAGCTTTTAAAAGAGGATGCAGCCTTTGTTTTCTCTCTTCTTCTTCTTCCCTCTCTCCGGTTAGGTTAGGGTTAGAGCAACCCCCTCCCCACCCTCCTGCAACTTAAGAGGTGCAGCCCGCTGGCCAATATGGCAGCGAGAACCCCCCCCCATTCCTCCATTAGGACAGTTTAAGCTCTGCGAAAGGAGACTTTCCCGGGCTTGGTCTGGCCGTGTACACCAGATGAAGCACACACGTGGTTTGTTTATCTGCCCGTGGGAGGGAAGAGTCCCTTGGTATGACCTTTCGTCCAGATGATGGCCCAGAGAGGAAGGATCTCTTCATCAAAGGAGCGGATGAGTATGAGCTTCCCCCCCCCCTTAAACCTCACCCACTGTATAGCTTTGATGTGTTATTCTCTATGCTTATTGCTTTCTGTAACTGTTGTAATCTAAGGAAATATTGTGAGACTGATCAAATGCATCTATTTGGAGTGCTTTAGTATTGCTTAGTAAAGACAAACATTCATTCATAACCCTAGAGTGTTGGTCATTCTTGGAGATGGGACTGCAAGCTTTGATTAAAATCTCTGTATACAAGGACCTACCCGAACTCCCCGGAATTAGCTTCAAAAACAGAGCAGTTCTTATAACAGGATCTAACAGTTGTGTGTCCGTGATGTCTTTTTTTTTTTTGCAAGCTTCTTAACAGTGATGTGGCAGGTAAGAACAAATGAGCCCAAAACTAGAAGGGCAACCCACAAGCATCCCTGAACAGGATCTCTGAATCCATACAAGAGAGATAAACAAATCTGACAGTTATGTCATGGCTTATCACTGACTTTGGTCAGCATGATCAAGATGGGTAGCCGTATTAGTCAGTCTGTAGAGTAGAAAAGAGTAAGAAACCAGTAGCACTTTAAAAACTAACAACATTTGTGGTAGGGAATCAGCTTTTGTGAGTCACTGCTCACTTCTTCAGATGAAGAAGAAGAGATTGGATTTATACCCTGCCTTTCACTACCTGAGCAGTTTACAATCTCCTTTCCCCTCCCCACAACAGACACCCTGTGAGGTAGGTGGGGCTCAGAGAGGTCTTTTGAGAACTGCTCTTGAGAGAACTGCTCTAAAATAACTTGTGACTGCATGTGGAGGAGTGGGGAATCAAACCCAGTTCTCCCAGATTTGAGTCTGCACTCCTAACCACTACTGGCTCTTATCTGAAGATACCTGAAGCAGGGAGCAGTGACTCATGAAAGCTCATACCTTAACCACAAATCTTGTTAGTCTTTAAGGTGCTACTGGACTCTTACTCTTTGGTCAGCAGCAAGTATTTATGCTGAGGAGTATAACACCTTAAGTAAACACTCCTTAAAGGTGGGCCTCATTCAGTACAGTCCTCACAGAGAAGCTACAGAAACTGGCTCTGTGTAGCACTTGGGGTTGCCAGCTCTGAGTTGGGAAATACCTGGAGATTGGGGGGGGGGAGCCTGGGAAGGGTGGGGTTTGGGGAAGGAGGGACTTCAGCAGGGTATAATGCCACAGAGTCCACTCTCCAAAGGAACCTTCTCTCCAGGTGAACGGATCTTGGTCATCTGGAGATCAACTGTAATAGTGGGAAATATCCAGACGTCACCTGGATTTTGGCAACCCTAGTGGCACTGTGGTGATGTTGTTTTTCCACGAGGACTCTGTCTATGCAGACTCTTTCCATACCACCACAGAAAGTAGTTTTCACATATCACAAACGCTGCAAAGAATGCTACCATTTAGAAGGGACTATCAGTTGCTTCTGCATGTATAGCTGTACAATGGCCCTGGTCACACGGCAAAGTTGCCACGGGAGAGGCACGGAAGGTGGCTGGATTATCCGGGCATGATCACACCCCAACATCTGGGAAGTGGAGCACATCCGTGGCTTACCGCCGACAATGCGCATTTAAAAAATAGTACCTCCAAGGTACTAGTAAACGTTTGCCATGGGCTGCCTCCAGACGCCTGTGGTGTGATCGCGCTGGCGCGCAGCATTCCCCTCCGGTCCCTTGTTTACCCACTGGCACTGAGGGAAGGACTCGTGCTGTGCCGCCGGCATGTCTGATCACCTAATCGTGGATCAAACTGTGCTGGGGCAATTAGTCACGCCTCCCCCCCGCGATATCCGGCCCGTGTGCCCGGGGCCAATATGAAGTATCCTCTAGCTTGAAAGGAAATTGAGAGGGATTGAATCTTTATTTATCATGAAGGTTAAGTATTTTAACATGTATAAATCCAGGATAGTGAGAATAATCATACTTACTGGTGAGTAAACCAGCCCACCACAGCCAGTCCTTTAGGTATCCATGACCTCCATCCCCTAAGAAAGCAACAGCAGAAGACACACAAGCTTAGAGACAACTAAAAATTGAATGAAAACAAGAAGATCAAATAAGCAGAGTGACAGGTTGAAAATAAACTAGAAATGTGACCCATAAGTGAAACCTTACTTGCAGGTAATAATAGTTGTTAGCTATAACAAAAGTATTTACAAGTTAGATGGGTAGTACAGACACAACAGTTTTTAAAATTCTTTTGCAGGATGAAAATGAAGAATTACCTGCCTGACAGGGAAGTTCATAGAGCTTCACCCTTCTAAATCCACTGACTTCAGTGGACTTTAAAGGGTTTAGGATTGAACTGCAAGTAAACTACAGAGAATATTTTCGTAGCACTTCATCATATGTGGTTCTCTCAATGTGAAACAGAAAATGTCATTCCTGCGCCTACTCACCAGCTGTATGAATTTACTAAACAAATACATATGCATTTGTCTTTTATTGAATCAACCCATTGGTTCATCTATCTGCCCCACTTGGCAGTGGGTCTTTGGGATCTCAAACAGAGAATAGTCTTTCCCAGTACCTGCCACCTGAGATTCTTCACCTGGATCTGCCAGGGATTCAGATCAAGTCCTTCTAGATGCAAGGTACATGCTTCACCACTGAGCCACAAACACTCTCCCATAGTTATAGCAAGAACTTTTCCTCACAATCAGGAAATGAGAGCTATGTGGGTTAAAGAATATAACACCTCATGGTAATAAATCCTGAATACCTGTAACCCTTCCTCTCCACTCCGTGAGAATATGTATGAACACAATCTCTGACAAATCGAATGGAAAGCAACAACAATCATAAATATGTTCCTTATGAAAGGCCAACCATTCATATCCTGAATTTCAACTTATTTGGCAACAAAAAAAGGCCAAGAATAAAGTTTACTACAAGAAAGTAAACAAAGAGGTGGATTAGCCCTCCGGATTGGGCCTTAACGGCTATGAACTAGTTAAGGGATTGGATTGTACAAGACGATAAAAGATTATTGAATCTGGAGGGACATGATATACAGAGGGGATGGCATTTTTATATGTGGTATAATAAAGACAGGCCAGCCACCTTGTTTAAACAACATACCTTAAGAGCGGCCTTATATAAAGTATGGGAGGAGATAAAAGCGAAGTATTATGTCAAGTTACCTAGATGGATATCACCCACTGAAGCTTTCGCTAATCCTTCAATGCATATTAAATATTCTAAATGGAGGTATGAAGATCTTTTAGATGTAAAGGGAGAGTTAGTATCGGAGAAACTTCTTGAAGAACAAGGTATGAACTTGTCATGGTGGGAAAAAAACCAACTTACATCAAGATGGACAAAGGATAAACGAATAGGCTTTTATGTAAATCAGACCGCAATGGATAAGATATGGATAAATACAAAAGAAAAATTTATTAAAGAAATGTATAATTTCTGGTTAGAGTGGAAAATGGAGGATGAACAAATAAAGCCTTCAATGATAGCGTGGGTACAAGATATGGGATATAGTTTGAGCCTTGAACAATGGGAAACAGTATGGACAAGAAATATAAAATTTGTAAGAACAAATGCATTTAAAGAAAACATTATAAAGATGTTTTATAGATGGCATATTTCGCCAGCTAGACTAAACAAATTTAACGGGAAAATAGGGAAAAACTGTTGGAAGTGTAATTTTTGTACCGGTACTTTCTACCATATGTGGTGGCTCTGTTCTAAAACAAGAAAATATTGGGTCATGGTGAAAGAAATTATAGATAAAATGCTTGGTAAAGATTTAAAGCCAGAATGTTGCTTGTTAAATGTGTTACCTGATATATTTAAGGAAAAAGAGATATACTTAAATATGCAGATATTAACGGCAGCGAGAATTGTATTCGCAAAAAGATGGAAGGAAAAAAATATTCCTTCTAGAGAGGAGATTATTAGTAAATTATTTTATATTGCAGAAATGGAGAAACTAACTTATATTGTAGAAGAAAGAAGTCTGGAAAAGTATGAGAAGTACTGGGAAAAAATTTATGATTGGTTGAATGAGTTAAGATTAGGTTCAATTTAATGTAACTTATGTTATAGGTGCCAAATTTGGAATTATATAGGGTATAGGGTAGAAGATCTCTGTATATATGTACATTTACACTTTGTAAATTGTTGTTTTGACCTAGAGTGAAGAAAAGGTGTTGAAAATGCAATAAATAAAATATTTTTTTAAAAATGAACAACTGATATATTAGAATCTAGGAACAACGGTGATTGAGAAATAAGAATTTCTTCACTTTTTCACATAATTGGTTTAGTCAACAAATTAATTTACTAAAGCTTCAATAGGCTAACATGATTATATTTTGACGGGTAGGGTTAAGACATCTTTGTTCATTCTGTTCTATGTGGTGTTGTAATAGGGACAGTTTCCACATGGGGATAGGCTTGTGTGGTTTTCCTGTTGCCGCTACGACTGCTGATACAGCGCAGATGCAACCGGGCTTCCAGGTGGCAGGTTTCCCCATGATTTCTCTGCCCACGTCCCTTGGCAATGGCCATCTCCTCTCCCCCAGGCCACCAGGGCCTTTTCAGTTGTTGTTTTTGTTGTGTAATCAGCTACAGGGGATTGTTATACTGGTATTATCACAATTTGTGTAACAGGTTCATTAAATTTCCAGCCCCTTTCATTGTGGAGATACGCTTTTCTCCTTATATCTTTGCAACAAAAGGGCCAGCGACTTATTTTGTAAAACAATGAAAGATGGGAATTCAAAGAACCTGATACACAACTTGTGATAATGTTATATCACTATAATGATAGTCAATTGCCAATTTAAAACAGAAAAGCCCTCCAGTGGCGGGGAGAGGAAATGGCTGCCACAGCGAAGGGGTCAGGGGAAATAGCTGCAAAGTGTGGTGGAAAATCTAGACTTTTTCAACCACAACAGAGCTATCGAGTTTTACTGCAAACACAGGAGGTGCACGATGCTGTGGGAAAGCGGGGGTGAGGTGGGGGGGGGAGACACACACTATTTTCTGGTAGCACTGAAACCGTGGGAAAGAGCCTTTGAGGAAATGGCCAGGGAAGAACAAATGGCAGTCTTACAAAGAACTGATTTTTATAAATAATCTCATCCTTCCTTCAATATTATGCAAAGGGCACCTGTAATGGAAAGCTGATGATGTGTACCATGAAGTTCCTTTTAATTGTTAATTTATCAATTCAAAAGGAAGAAGATGACACTTAAGTTAATAAACAAACTGACAGGGCTACTAAAATGTTAATGCCTGCATGCAACAGATGTATAGATATAACATGTATTCACATGTCAGAGAACCAAGACTGGATGCCATTTACTTGCAGTGGTAAACACACAATTGCCACTATATTTGCTCAATAGGAATCAAACTTTACTTGGCTGTTTCCACTGAAATGGAAGTGAAGAAGAAGAAGGATTGGATTTATACCCCACCCTTCACTACCCAAGGGAGTCTCAGAGCGGCTTACAAACTCCTTTCCCTCCCCCTCCCCACAACAGACACCCTGTGAGGTAGGTGGGGCTGAAAGAGCTCTGACAGAAACTGCTCTTTTTTCAAAAACAGCTCTTATCAGAACTATGGCTTGCCCAAGGTCATCCAGCAGGTGCAAGTGGAGGAGTGGGGAATCAAACCCGGTTCTCCCAGATTAGAGTCCACACACTTAACTACTACACCAAACCAATGCTCCCTCTTAGCTTTGGAGTCTTGTGAGCAAAAATTCTACTTTGTGAGCTACTGGCATTACAGTTGTGAGCAAGCCATTTGGCTACTGTATAAATTAAGTTTGCTCTGGAGCCATCGTTCCTGAGCTAAGAAAAAAATGTGTGAGCCAGAGGCTATAAAACTGTGAGCTAGCTCACACTAACTCAGCTTAGAGGGAACACTGCACCAAGCTGGCTCATAATCGTACAATATAGAGTGATCACTGGGAAGCCTGTTGCATTGAATGAATACATTTTTTCTCTCTCTTATGGACTGTCTCAAACTCAGAAATGAGCAACTGATCATTTAGGCGATACATATAAATGTTGCCATTATCATATAGACTCATGTCCATTGGTGAGGCAGATTCTGAAGCAATCAATGTTGTTTGTGAGGCTGCTTATATCTCTGATAGATTACTAACTTATTTAGTAAGATTTGTTTAGCAATATCATGCTATTCATAAATAAAGTACATCTAAACCAGATGACTATATATATTTACTGAGTCATATTGAGGGTACTACTCCTGACTCAGAAACTGGCCGCCAGCTCATTTATTAGCATATGTTTTAGGAATAGATATTTCTGCTATTGTTCTTTACAATCTGACAAACAAGGAAGATGAAAACCTTGGAGACATGGATCACTGAATAAGATTATGATCTTTTATAAATAAAAATCCTGATGCGGTCCCACAATTTTTAGAGAAGCAGAAAAGGTTTCAGATTACAATTACACCAGCAGAACAGGAATCATCACTTCTCCTTGCCTGTCAGACCATGACAACAAATCAGGGCTGAAAGCCTTGATGGTGCGATGAGATGAGCAGATAAAGAGAATGAACAGGCAGCAAACTTGTCCCACAGAACTGCTGCACCCACGCAAATTCAGCAAGTGTAGCCTGAGTTGCAATGATTCTCCTATGGCTAAATAGGGAGGAGTCAGATTGCATAAGACTGTAGCGCACAGCTGATTCACACATGTATGTTCCATCACCTAACTACAGCATTTGTTAATGCACCATAGATACAACTTTCACAGCATTTGTAATCACAAACATAAAGCTTTCCACTGGAGGTGGTCCACACACCTTAGAGATATGCAATACTCAGCAAGCATGCGAGATACTGGTAGGGTTGCCAACTCTGGGTTGAAAAATACTTGGAGATTTGGGGGGTGGAGCCTGGGATGGAAGGATTTGGGGAAAGGCAAAAACTCAGTGGGGTACAATGCCATAGATTCTACCCTCCAAAGCGGCCATTTTCTTCAGGGGAATTGATCTCTATCTCCTCTAGTACAGGTCTAATTCTGGGAGATCTCCAGGGCTCATGTGGAGGTTGGCAACTCTAGATACTGGTGATGTAAACCCACATGTCTGGCTGCCAGAAAGTGCTTGTGTGGAACTCCAGTAACCAGGCCATGCCAGGTCTGGCAACTGGCTAGAGGGCTGAGAGCAGCTGCAACATTATCTGCACCACTATATCACTTCTGAGGAAAACCTGGAAGTGAGGTATGGTCCCTCTAGGAATCCAGGGTAGCTCCAGTGATTGTTCGAGCTACCTACACCACTTCCAGGTTTTCGCCAGGAGTGACATAGCAGTGTAGACATCACCATTTCCCCCCCTTCCATCGCCACTCGGAGAGGAGGCAGGCAGCTAGAACGGCAGGAATCACACAGCCCAGTTTACAACATTTATAATACATAAGCCTGTATCTAATAATCTGCATACAACATTCTTCTCCATTCTTGCAGCCCTTTCTGATCCCTGGAAAGACCATTCCCAGGGTTGTGGGGCATGTGAGGGGAACAAATGTGTAGGTTGGGGGGACTGAATCGATGAGGGACAAGATGAACTGACTCCTCCTACTTCTTCCACAAGGACAGTTCCTCTGAGGGGGAGAAACAATTTCATGCTCTTGTGCCTCCTCACTCAAGCCTCCCAAATTACAAAGCCACTCCTCCACGTAGGTCCCAAGGAATAGTCTTTTGGGGGAGTTGGCAGGGACTGCAGCAATGGAGAGGAATGCAGGAATATTCTGTGTACCTTCTGAGCATGGACAGTTGGATGCAAGCCACTGCATGAAGGGAATATGCCCTGCCAGGCTTTAGGGGCAGTCCCAGAGTTCATAGATTTTCTCTAAGACAGACGCATGTATTATTATATTCTTATCACTGTATACATATTTTTCAACATGGGAGATATGTTTCTTATTGCAGCAAGTATTAGCATAAGCAGAAGGCTTGCCCGTAGAATCTCACGTTTCCATTGTGCAAACCAGGGGTGGCCAAACTTGCTTAATGTAACAGCCACATAGAATAAAGGTCAGATGTTTGAGAGCCACAAGACATGAACAAATATTATACACACTTTTTATTGAAAAATATGCAAATTTGCTTTTTATTAACATTAAATTAGACTGTGTGAAAGAGCCACACGTGGCTCTCGAACTGCAATTTGGCTACCCCTGGTGTAAACTATAGGTGCACATGCAGGAAACACAATTGTGGTAAGCAGGAAGCTGGTAGCTGAAACCTCAGTCCAGCCAGATATCAGAAGTAGCGTATACAGTAGCGTAATACGTCATGCATGGACAAAAGAAGAGGGTCAATTGGTTAACCTACATTTCTTTGTCCATGTAAAAAAAGAGGATCCATTCTGAATTAAATCATAACAGAATACAAGTGTTGAGGTGTAGCGAATCTGAGCTTTTAAATGAAAATGACTATTTCCAACAATAGAAAGTACCCTGTCTGAATAGTACTCCTTCCTAAGAACTATAGTGTGTACACCTTTGATTGTGCTTGAGCATCTGGTATATAAGCTCTTCGTAGCATACAGAGACACAACACAGTCAACCCACCCACTGACCCTTCACTTGTAGCTTGCCATGAACTCTCGTCATGGGTGCAACTTTTATATGCTAGATCACAAGAAAACACTTTTGTTTCTTTAAAATATCTACACCCACAAAGGTTGCTCCTATCTCCCTCTTCCCCAGCCCACTCTCCTCCACTGCTGAACGTACAGGATGAAAGGCTTATGGAAAGCACCCAGCAATTCCTCTTGAACAGCACTCAGGCTGTATTAATAGTACTCCAATAGATGAACTCCCTGTCCCTTCATTACATCAGTCTTTATATTTTTAGGTGTACAGCTAACATTTTATGGGTACATCATAAAATATGAAATGTGAGCATGGCAAACATATGTGCACCATGCAGGCACACTCATCAAGATTATCAGTTCCTATGGAGTGTATGCTTGATGGAAAACAGGGATTGGCCCAGTGAATAATGTGTGAATGGCCTACAACACACTCAGAGGCTCAAAGCCAAACCTCCATTATAGGCTTTCCCACATTCTCATTATGCTTGCTTGTGTGTTCCTGTTGCTTGGGGGGGGGGGGGTGTCTCTTCTACACGTGTTTTACTCCCTCTAGTGGTTGTTTCGATATTACATCACTTTATTTCTGTCATATTTAAACTGCATGTTTTTATGCTAGACATACATTAATGTAATACCAAATTAACCACTAGAGGGAGCAAAACGTATGCAGAACGGGGGGGGACCCTGAAGTAACAGGGACACACCAACGAGGAATATGTGAATACAGAAAAGCCCTATATCTAAAACAGTTTCTATTCCCACCTCTGCAGTAAAGTAAATCATACCTGCCGGGGTGCCTCCTTTCTCCACTAACCGTAGCAGTCCTTTCTTCTTGAGGATGACACTGCTGCCAATGAGAAAGCTGGAGAAGATGGCCAGGGCCAAGCCAATGTAGAAACCATATTTGTTTTCTACTTGCACCATCCAGTCAGCATCCAAAGTAAGATTTTCTTGAGGTGAGATTGTTGGGCTGACATTCCCAATGACCTGACAGACTGTCTGCCAAGACAGACAAGTCAGGGTCAACAAAGAACCTGGGAACATAAGAAGAAGGGAAGGGGAGAGAAATTAAGATTAAGAATTTAATGAATAAATGTTTCTGTGACTATGTCTAGCTTACCATCTCTCAGGAAATCATTGTTCTTTCCCCCTTCCTCGTGATTTCTAAATCTTCACCAATTTACGATTTCAATAATTTCTTCATGAATGTAAGAGTGCAGTTCTTGTGTTTTAGACTGCTCCAAGGACAGGCCTGTGAAAACATGGCATCCCAAAACCCTGAAGACACCATCACTGTTTCTCTCTTCTGCCTCCAGTTCTAAATTTTTATTAATCATTCTATCTTTGTTCCGTTGGCCAGAAGAATTTAAATGAAACCTTTTTTGTGTGTTTCTTTAAATCTGCAACCCAATAGCAGTTTTGCAGTTTTGATGTATTTTTGTAAATTAGTATGTGCAAATGATTGATGGCCTGTTTTAAACAGGACATGCTTTAAGTCCTTATTGTGGAATAATCTTCACCTTAACTAATGCATAGCTAGAATTTCCGTTCCCTTTTGATACGGCAGGGTTTCTGTGCTTTGAATGTAATAGGGGATTTTTTCTCTCATTACTATTGTGGGGGAAAGCTTTACCTGATGACTTACTGTCAAGCAGGGATTGGAGCCCTGTCAGAAAAAAAAGGTGGCAATTGTGTACAGAACAGTTAACAAGTCTTGGTCTGGAGTTTCCAGGCTAGTTACGCTATAATCCCATGTACTTTGAGTAATTGACCACAAATGCCACAGATACAAAATGTTTACAGAACCATTTTACTAATTCACACCCAAACATTTCAATCCAAGATACAAAATGTTTACAGAACCATTTTACTAATTCACACCCAACATTTCAATCCAAAAATGCATCCCAAAGCAGACTGAAATCCAAGACGTCAATGCATCATAAGAACATAAGAGAAGCCAATGTTGGATCAGGCCAATGGCCTATCCAGTCCAACAATCTGTCACACAGTGGCCAAAAATACCAGGTACCATCAGGAGATCCAGCAGTGGGGCCAGGACACTAGAAGCTCTCCCACTGTTGCCCCCTCCCCCCAGCACCAAGAATCATTTGCCCCAGAGTTCCTATCTATACCTTGTGGCTAATAGCCACTGATGGATCTCTGCTCCATATGTTTATCTAATTCGCTCTTGAAGCCGTCCATGCTTGTAGCACGCATTGACTTCAGGTTGCCACCATCATTCCTACCAGTGCTTTTTGCAGCTACATGACAATGGGATATTCTGGTCTAACAGCTGGAATTTGCATTTCTTAAATGTCTCACCATCAAAGCATAGAAGGCTCTATTTGCCCTAGAGATGGCAACCTTCCCCAGCTTGGCAAAGTGTATTGATGAACATTAGGATTACAATCCTTTTTGAAATCAAGATTCTGCTACATGGGTGGCAATTAATCCAACCAGAGAAACTTTTCCCAGCATGGAGTATGGCAACTAGGGGTAGATAAATGTGCTGGGTTTCTTTCCATCTTACAGTTACTATGAACAGAACCTTTGTCTGAAAAAAATGGCAACTCTAGCAAGGGCTCTTTGACAGCTGACTGAAAAGGTGCAAACTACCTGCAAAATAAAACCAAGCATACAGCAGTCTAGGAAGGACATTACAGCACTGGCCCTTTAACACCCCACAAGGAAGGAGGCCCAGTTAAAATGGTCTGCCCACTAAGGTCATGGATCTTTGTGGATTCCAGAATGATCTAGGGGATTTCAGGATTTCAAACACATGCTCTGTTGAGACTGAGGCGGGAGCTTCAAATATGAAGCTCCTTGAAGCTATTGATATGGTTGCCCCTTGTCAACCTCTTCCATCCTCGGGATGGAACCAGAGTTCCCCCTAAGCTGAGTTAATGTGAGCCAGCTCACAGTTTTTTAGCCTCTGGCTCACACATTGTTGTGTCTGCTCAGGAAGGAGGGCTCCAGAGCGAACTAACTTATGCAGTAGCCAAATCCCTTGCTCACAGCGTTAATGCCAGTAGCTCACAAAGTAGAATTTTTGCTCACAAGACTCCACAGCTTAGAGGGAGCATTGGATGGAACCCAGCACCCTGGTTTACCACAGAGCAGGGTGACATGAAGACAGCTGGGAGAAGTCTAAAATGGCACTGGTGGAAAACTTGCACAGACTCTAACAGAATGTGCTATACAGCCTGTTGGAAGACCTATGAGGCAAAAAAATAGCTGTGATACTTTTGCAGAGTTTTCTTTGCCGATAAAGTATTATGACTACGAACTGATCTGGATGCTGGTTGTAAAACAGGTCAATCTGAAGAAATGTATAAATACATCCTCTGGTCTGTTAATAGACGATTTTGACCCAATTACCCTGACAGATGCTGACAGAGTCCTGGGATCTGTGAAGGCAACTACTTGTGCTCTGGATCTTTGCTCATCCTGAATGGTAACATCATATAAATATCACATCAACAAGCAGCTGGTGTCCATCATAAAATCAATCACTGATGGAGGACACCTTCCCTTGGCCACTCAAAGAGGCAGTTACCTGTCCAATACTTTGAAAACCTGCCCTGCGGGAAAATAGTAATGCACAATCTCTAAACTGCACTGAAAGAGCAGTAGCTGACCAGCTACATGTTTACTTGGATCTCATATGGACTCTTTTTCAGTTTGGCTTCAGGCCAGGCTATGGGACAGAGACAGCTCTGCTGGCTTTGGCTGATTACTTCTGTCTGAACATAGGCAAAGGCCATGCTTCTTTGTAACTCCTACTGGACTTATCTGCAACTTTTGATACAGAGGATGATTCCATCTTGTTGAGACATCTGGAATCAGCAGGAGGTATCAAGGGATGTGCTCTGGATTGGTTCAAATAATTCCTCACAGATTGGACTCAAAGGGTTGCCTTTGGAAATCACTGGTTTTTAGCGCAGAATCCATCCTGTGTGGTTCCACAGGGTGTAGTCCTACCCTCCATTCTGTTCAGCCTCTTAGAATTAATCATCTGTAGCTGACAACAGCCAGACCTATAGCTCATTATTCAAATCTCCTGGAAGTGTGGTTGAGATCCTGTATCGCTGCCTGTCTGCTATAGTTAAATGACTAAGAGTGAAACTTAATCCTCACAAAAGAGAGGTAATGCTGGCTGGGAAGGCAGAAATATTGAAGAACATTGCACTTCCCACCTTCAGTGGGGTTCAGCTGGCCCTTGCTGACTCAGTCGAGAGCTTAGGGGTTACACTGGAGCCAACATTACTGCTGGAGAAGCAAGTTGACGCAACTGCAAAAAACACTTTCTGCAAACTCAGTCTAGCCTGGAAGATGGCCCCTTACCTTGACTCAGCCAATCTGGCCACCTGGATACATAATACGGTAACACTGAGACTAGACTACTGTAATGCACTCTACATAGGTCTCCCCTTGAAGTCAAATTGGAGACTTCAGTTGGTGCAGAATGCCACAGATCAGTTATTATCAGTAGTTAGGCAGAGCATGCATATTACTCTCATTCTTCAATCACTTCATTGGCTGCCCATAACTAACCAGGTTCAATTAGGAACCAGCTATTATAAAAAGTCTTTGATCACCTTGGACCATCATATCTGCAGGATTGCCTCTCCCCCATGCTCCACGATTAGAGCTTCACTCTTCTGAGCAAGGCCTTCTGTAGGTTCCACCCTGTAAACGGGCAAGGTCAATAACTGCCCATGCACATTCATTCTCTGTTGTGGACCCCAGCATATGAAATGGCCTGCCTGGTGAAATCAGGAAGGCTCTCACTTGACCAGCATTTTGCAAATTATGCAGAGCTGAATTATTTAGAAGGGAACTTTTACAATGGTAATGTCACTTTATTATAACCCAGGGGTGGCCAAACTTGCCAGAAACACACAGAATAAACATCAGATGTTTGAGAGCCGCAAGACATGAACAAATATTATACACACATTTTTATTGAAAACTATGCACATTTGCTTTTTATTAACATTAAATTAGACTGTGTGAAAGAGCCACATGCAGCTCCTGATCTGCAGTTTGGCCACCCTGTTATAACCGAATGGTTCAGGAAGAATGCTCTAATAAAGGGAAAGAAACTGTGGACTATAACATTGCGTACACTATGTACCTACCTGTAAGTACTATCCTACTATGTAATTTCTGCATCATTTAACATATCATGTTAATATTTACATGTTATTTAAGATTTCTGTTTTGTTTCCCTATTGTATATTGGATGCCCCATCCTATTTATTGCATTGATTTGCACTATATCATCTGCCTCGAGACTTTGGTGAGAAATAAATAAATAAAACCAGGGGAAAGGATATGGAAAAATGCTTGCTTGATAGAAGATGTTGACCAGAATAAATAGTTTTTGTCTGTCTTTTGGGAAGAAGTACATGCAAAAGACAGAAAGTTGAGAGAAGCACCAGAGCTTGGCAACAACATGAAAATGATTAACCTATATAAAACATTCCATCTAACAGATTATATCCAATACAACCTGTGTACGAACATACAATTCAGTCCAAATAAACCCTATTAAATCAGTAGAACAATTCCAAATGTAACCCACTTGGAAGCCGCTGTTTTCAAATAACTTTAACAACAACATTCAGGTGGATAGCCATGTTGGTCTGAAACAGCAGAACAAGGTTTGAGCCCAGTGGCGCCTTTAAGACCAACAAAGTTTTATTCAAGGTAAGAGCTTTCCGTGTGCACGCACACTTCCTCAGATACAATGAAAAAACATTTTTTCATTTTATCTGAGGAAGTGTGCGTGTACACGAAAGCTCATACCTTGAATAAATCGTCTTTGGTCTTAAAGGTGCCACTGGACTCAAACTCTGCTAAATGTATTTTTACACCTTTACTTCACTTTATTTGATAGCTTTCCTTAGATTTACTAGTATCATAGAATCATAGAGTGAGAAGGTATCTCCAGGGTCATCTAGTCCAACCCCCTGCACAATGCAGGAAATACACAAATACCTCCCCCCCACACCTCCAGGGACCCCCC